TCACCAATTGATGTCACGCTTGATGGTATTGTTACACTAGTTAAACTAATGCATTCATCAAAACAATTATTACCAATAAATGTTACGCACAATGGTATCTTATAACCATATTTCTTTCTATCATTTTCAGTGTAAGTGACATTTTTAAACTCGATGTTTCGACTTTTGTTTATATCAACAGTTTCAAAGTCAACATTGAACCACACGATGATTCGATAAAATTCTTTTTTCAACACAGTTTTATTTTCACTATTTTCATATTCATAATCTTCATAGTATTCTGTGTTGATCATAAATCCATTGCCGAAATTCTCATCTTTTTTACTCCACAAGTGAAGTGTCTCGATGTTTGGGAAGCATCTAAGTGTTTTGGAATTCAACGGAAACGGATTGAAGTGAAACTTTTTCATGTTGTTGCTAAACTTCTTGCATACCAACTCCAAGTTAATTAAGTCTTTGATAGTCTCGAAATATTTCGAGACTATCATGATGTGATAACCAGAAAGCTTACACATTTTGATATTCATTTTTTTTCGTTGTTCAAATATTTCAAAATCCTTCTTTGTAAACAACTTTAATAAATTATAGATTAATATATAATTCACTATTAAAAGTTTTGAGCAGGGCTGCAAACCGGATTCAACTGGTGGCTAGCCCGTCTTAATTTTTAAATAACTTCAGCCAGAATTTGTGTTTGGAACTATTATTTTTAATTTGTTGAATAAATTAATTAGGATTTGTCAGCCAGTAGTGATAAAAAAATGGCTAGCCACAAAATCGTCCAAACTATACACATTCTAAAATGATGGTAAAAAATAAAACTATTTAAATAATGAGGAATAGAAAGTATAGTTTCATGTAGTTTTGAAAAGTCATAACAAATCTCCACGTTTTTTAATAGTTTTAAAACATAGTAAATTAAATTAATGGTAATAATTTGTCGTTTGTGTCAAACAAAAAATACTTAAGTAAATTATAGTAATAAATGATTATTTATTCAGAAAAGAAACACACAAAAAACAAAAAGACAAAAAACAATTTGTTATACCATTTAATATTTAAGTTTTTAAAATTGTTAATTTCTGTGTAATTGTAATGTATCACAACCATCTTTATTTTGAATAATTATTATAACATAAATATGAACATTTAATTGTTTGATTTGTTGTGTTTTCATCATAAGACATTACTTGTTTTTTATGTAAAAAAATAATTAGGATTTTTGAAGTGTTTCGATTAAATATTCTACAAAATGATGTACTACTGATAAAATAAAGTATATTGTTATTTGACATGTACTCAAAATACACATTTGAATAAATTACCTGAATAAAACACGTTTTGAATTTTAAATATAAAAGAAAATGTTTATAATATTCAATATTGACAATTTGTTTTTTTAAAATAATGATAATATAATAATGTAACATAAACACAAATTCAACG